TTGCTAAGCAACAGCGATGCTCCGCCGCCGCTTCTCCCGGCTTCGGCACTGCCTGTGTTGGCTCCACCGTTGCCCGTTGTGCACTCCGACAGAAACTGCCACTGCGCCTCCGTAGCAGACCCCAGAGTCTGCGGCAGAAGACAGCGCCGACCCCGTGCCGTGCCTGCCACCGCTTTCAGAGCCAAGGGACGCAGCAGCGGCATGTTCCCGCGCATCCCCGCCGCCTCAAACCGAGCCAGTCCCTGTTCAGGATGGTGCTGAAAACGGCGCTGAACCCGCGGGACCCTCGGAGCAGCCCGCGGCCGCTCCTACACCCAGCGTGATTTCCCTCCCCGAGTGTTTCTGGTTGTCCCGGGGCTGCCCCTGCGGGAGGAGCTGGGACAGGGGAAGAGGGCGTCAGCCGCTCCTTCCGTGGAGCAGGCACAGCCCGACAGCTGGGGGCAGCCCGCCTGCCTGCTTTCAAGATCAGCATTCTCGGCGGGCTGGGGAGTGTTTGGTCGGTTGCTGTCCCTTTGAGATTGCCATCTCTGCCGCCCCTCTTGCGCCCTAGCGGCGAGGGGCAGGTGGGTTCTGCCGAAAGTTCTGCCTTTGGTCCCCAGCCCAGAGGGGGTGGTGCTGTGAGGCAGATGGGACACACACCTGATGCATTTGCATTGCAGAGGCAGGGGGCACAGCGGGAAGCGATCATGGCTTGCTTGCTGTGGGGAACAAACATTCCTAGATCAGAGATGAGGATTTTTGGGGCTGCTTCTATTTCCCTGCTGCTGGCATGCCTCAGTGGTTTTGGGGAAAGGAAGCATCTCACCACCCGTGCTGCCATTGTACTGGCAGCAGGGTGCAGGCCTGTGGGAATGCAGAGCCTGCTTCATGGGTTTGGCTGGGCTGTTGGGCTCAGATCCCTGGGCCAGGGCCACTGCCTGGCCTCCTGATGGCTGTGGGGGTTGTGGTTTCTCCTACCGGTCCTGGCCTGCCTTTTGTGGGCCAGCTTTGGGGTTGCTGGTCCTTTCATGGGCCAGGGCCCCCCAGGGCCTTTCTTTCTCTGGCTCTGCTCTGCTGCTGCTTCTCCTTTCGAACACAAACAAACAAAAAAACCCCAAATTTTTAAATTAAATAAAGAAGATTGAAATAGCTGGCGGCAGCTCTGAAGCATTGAAGGGCCAGAAAAGGACATTCCAGAAGTTGTTCAAAATTGAATGGTTTTTGATAACTGTTGATGGACTTTTTCTGCAGCAAGCCTGATTCAGGACCAAAAAGGACTTTCAGATATGTCCAGGAGGAAGATCTTCAGCCCATGGACTGTTCCTGAAACTCAGCTGCTTGGACTTGAATTTTCTTTGCATTGTTTTTTGCATTTTCTTATATTGTAAGAGTGTTTTAGTGATTTGATAGAATTGTATGTTCTACAGGTGAAGAAATTTCCTGTTCATTCCACATCAGCATTTTTCTTTTTAATTTGTAGAATTTGGAAAGGTGAAATGTCACAGACATCTTTTGTGAAAAATCCTTTCTTTAGGATTTTCCCTCTTCTGGGAAGCTGAGGCCCCAGAAAGAGAATGTAAACAATGGTTGTCTGCTGCTGTGGAATATAACAGGTGCACCTGTGATTGGTCCATGTTCCATGTTTACAATTAAGGGCCAATCAGAGACTGAGCTCTCTCTGGGACAGAATCAGAGAGAGCTCTCTTGTTTATTCATTCCTATGCTATTCTTAGCTTAGCAGCTTCTGAACTTCTCTCTCTATTCCTATTAGTATAGTCTTAATGTAGTATATATCATAAATTAATAAATCAGCCTTCTGATCATGAGATCAAGATTCTCGTCTCTCTCTTCACCCCTGAAGATCCTTGCAAGCCTTGTAACACTAGCACAGAGGGGCAGGGGTGAAAGGACATAAATAAGAACATCTTATAGGGCACTTTGGTAGCCAACCACACAGATAAGAGCCCTAGAATGCACCAGAGAGAGAGAACAAAATGAGTGATAATATGGGTGGAGATGCAAGTGCTTGTTCCCCGTGGAGCAAGGGAATACTCCCAACTGTCCTGCTGGGTACTTGAACAAAATTTCTTATTCTTTGCAGGCAGGATAGGGTTGGTTCCAGTATCAGCAAAGGAAGCTTAAATCTCTCTGAGGGTCCTGGATCCCTGGAAAACCTCTGGAGTGTTATTGCCAGCTATGTAATGGATGAGATGCAGTCAGTCTGAAGCAATCTTGTAAAGTGATGTGGAGGAGGTAGTAGGGCAGGGCACTCTGACAGCTGGAGGAGGTAGGGCAGAGTCATTCCTTTCAGAATTCCTTTCAGGTTGATGGAGTCTGTAGCATCTCCCTATGTTCTTCCTATTTGGAAGCCTGCAGCAGCAGAGGGGATGTCTTGTCCCTTGGTGGAGTCAAAGGTTATCCCTCTTTTGCAGTAGCAGGAATATTGGTGGAGAGAAATAGAGCTGCTCCTTGTGAAAGAGTACAGAGCCTCATTGAGAGGAGTGACTAGACAGCTGGCCACCTCCCTTGATTTGGAATGACAAACTGTAGAAGCACTTGACATTAGAAAAGCAAAGGTCTCACCACACCCACATTCTTACTGATGCCTCGCCTGCCACAGGTATGTGCATTCAGTTTCAGCTAAAAATATCTCAACAGGTTGGAGGGGCAGGAAATGTTTCTTTATTGTGGCTACTCCAGAGGGGCTGGGTCAGAGGGTGTTTTTATAACTGAAGTAGAATAGGGAGTGTCTGGAGATGTATTTGGGCAAAACAGAATTTACAGCCAGCTTAAAACAAAATCTCTGATCTAATGAAACATGAGGGGAAAAGAATGAAGTGAAACCTGTCTCTCTCTGAATAAATGTTCAGAAAAGACCAGCACTGGTATGTGCTTGGCTGCATACTTTCATACAACAACTGCTGCCAGTGTTTGTTCAGTCAGGAGGGCTTTTGAGGGGCAGTTCTGGAGCACACCCCTGCACCCTCTGGAGTTTCACACAGCAGGGAGCTGAGTGGAGGATTAACCTCAGCATGACGTAAGGTAGGATTGGGCTAACACAATTTGTCATATTTTTATGGTTGAAACTCAGGTGAAGTTTCAATGAAAGCTGTGTTCTCAAAAAATGTTTAGTGGGGATGTTTGCAGTTTGGAACAGTTCTGCACTTCCAAAGTCCATATTGAGAAGGTGATTATTTATATATTTGTAATACATACATCAAATTA